CTTCCTTGGGCCCCACAGACGCTCAGGAGGGTGGGACAACCTCCACAGCCTGGGTTTCAGAAGGAGGTTGCAGCCCTGGGAGGAACCTGAGTCCATTGGACCCCCTTGTTCATGAAGACCCCAAGGGTGACCCCAGGCCTCAGCCACAACACGGGATGGGGCCCCAATGTGTAGGGTCAGGCCCACCTGAGCAAGGCACACACACAGCCCCCCCGCCCCAATCCCCACTGCCTGATGGTCTGAATGTGTCCCTGTACCGGCCCCAAAGTCCCTGAAAGTGGGATCACACCAGACTCCAAATCCAGTCATCAAAGGGATAGTTTCAGCTCTCACAGGCTGCCTGCTCGGTGAACTGGCCTAGGCTCCCATCGGCCACCCCAAATTTGTCATTGTTAGGTACCATAGAGGTAGTTCCACCTCAGCGACCCTCTGCACAACAGAGCAAAACACTGCCCTGTCCAGCATCCCCCTCACAACTGTGGTCACATCTAAGTCTGTTGCTGCTCTCATTGTTTCTGCTGACCGTCCTCTTTAACAAGCACGATGTCCTTCTTCAGGGACTGGTCCCTCCTGATAACATGCCCAAATATGAAAGACAAAGTCTGGCATTCTGACTGGACTTTTTCCAAGACAGATTTGTTTGTTCTTCTGGCAGTCCATGGGACTTTCAGCATGCCTGTCCAACATCACCCCAATTCCATTCCCAGCCCCTGCCTGTCAGGGTGACATGCTGAGGCTGCAAACTCTCCACCATGGTTCCAGTACCAGGAGGGTCAGTCACGGTGAGCAGGTTCCAGAGGGGCTTCCCGACTAAGGCAGACTAGAACCCATCACCTCCTCCAGCCGACTCCGCACTATTTGTTACACGTGGGGTCACTGTTCATTACAACGGATAATAACAATAAAGAAGGAGAAGGGAAAAGATACTGCACAAAACTACAAATTCCCTCCTGCTCCTACGTTAAAGGTACAACAACACAGGAATGGCTAAAATATAGAGGATGAGACTTCCAAGTGTGGGCGAGTGTGTGAGCAGCAGACAACATTTCACCGCTGGGGGTTGGCTGGAGGATTCTTGGGGCAGTCATCTCTCCCAGACCAGGTCTTCTGTCCTAAGACCCAGGAGAGCTTTCTCCCTACATCTGCCAAGAGGAGGCATGTGAAGTTTGGAAGTAACTCTGGCCCCAAGAAGCCCAGAACACCTCCGAGGTCGTTGTGCATTGGGTCTGGCCTCCCGGCGAGCATTAACCAGCCATGAGGACATGTGCTGTGGGGCCCAGCACACACGGGGATGCCCCAGGGGGACAGCTGTGGTGGCAGTCACACAAGCATGTCACAGCGCTAAGTGCCCCCTGACCCAGGTTTCATGAGCTTGACGTAGGAGGTAGTGTTGGGGGCATGTCAGGGACAGACCTAATGTCATCCTTTACAAAGTTCTGAGAGGCAGCATGTAGGGAAAAGGCGAGACCACGTGAGTCTGGGAGCAGGCTGTGGTATCATCCTGGTCACCTAATATAGGGGCCACAGGCGTTCCCCAGGTCTGAGCGGAGCGGAGGGAGGACAATGGAAAGATTGTGTAACCCCTAGGAGAGGGAGGCCAGGGAACAGCCAGGAGAGGAGGGTATAGGGGTCCACCTGTCTGCCAGACACCCATGAGGCTCGGCTGCCTGAGCTGAGGAATGGAGAGCTCTCCTCGCAGTACGTGAGTGAGGCATTGCCAGTGGTCCTTCCAACAGTGGGACAGAGAGACTGCCGAACCTGTCATCCCTGCCCCAACCTCTGTCCAAGTATGGGGCCCAGTCCAGCGCAGGTGTGACAAGCTGTGTGGCCCAGGGCCCAGGGCCCACTGGGACAGTCAGGGAGGCGCATCCTGTCCAATGCAGCAGCCTCTTCAGGGACAAACAGGAAGCCCCATCTCTCCCCTGCAAAGTCTGTCTTTCCTTCCTACAGCCCGGCTCCTGGGATGCCCACCCTAGCCTCTGCTGGGGTCTCAGTCCACCTCCTCTTGGGGCTGCAGGGGCCCAAAGCTCAGAGGTGAGGGGTCCCAGGAGGGCCGACCCCTGCCACGCCCAGACCTGATCAACTCACTTGGACCTGAGGAGGTAAGATAACATGTCTCCCTCACCATCAGCAGCTATGACCCTTACTGAGGCGAATGGGGAAACTGAGGCCCAGCATGGGCAACCTGGAGCCGAGCCAGAGCAGCCTCTGCTCCACTAGTGGGCAGGACATGGCTCCAAGCTCCAAGTGGCTCAGGAGAGGACAGGTGGATGGACGCTGGGATGGTGGGCCACCCCCCCACACCACCACCACCACATACACAACTCTGGGTGGGCCTTGTTGTCGGGGAGGGGCCAAAGATGGAGATGCAGGTCTGGGTAACACCTGGGGCAGACTCAGGATGGTGAGAAGAGGAGTGGGACCGGTGCGGGGGCCCTAGTCTGCCCCATGAGCAGAGAGCTCTGTCCATTGGGGCACCCATCCTGGGATGGGCTCCCCAGCCCTCTGTAGACCCCAGCCCATTCACAGCCAGTACCTCCCGGAGTCTAACAGGGTCCCTGACTTGCACCCAACCCTATCCTCTCCTGACATGCCTGAGGACACTAGGCTGAAGATGGGACTCCACCCTACCTCTTGTGCCTTTGTCTGGGGATTTGGCATAACTGTGCCGGAAGGGATTCCAGGCACTGGAGGGGCCCAGAATACAGGGCCCTGTATTCCTTGAGGCTGGGGATAGGGCTGGGGCTGGGGCTGGGGCTGGGGTGAGGTGACTTGGCCCAGCTCCTGGTGAGGTGCTGTAGGATCAGCACTGGACTTCGAACCATAAATTCAGCAATTCAACCCCACCAGCTGCTCCTTGGAAACCCTATACAGGGTCACTATGAGTCAGAACCCACTCGACAGCATTTAACAACTTCAAAGACTGCAACAGTAAAGAAGGGGGGCAGAGGTGGTCCTGATCACAGCAGGGGGAGAGACCTGGTGATCCATGCGCAGCAGAGGGCAGGAGCCCATCCCGACTAACATTCAGGCATCTAGGGAGAATCTAGGCCCTAACCTCCCGCTTCCACGCCAGGGAAACACCCAATCCACCAGCCTGTCTCCCTTCTCCACTCCTGAAATTCCCTCACACAACTAACTCACTGTTCACCATGGCATGGCTTCTAGAAAGTTCCATGACACTCATTAACCACTCACATGTTTGCTAAGGACAGGGCTGGCAGCTAGGGTGGCCAGGTGGGTCACTTAGAACAAGAGGACAAGACAGAGAGGGGCTTTTGTCTTGATGGGCCCTTTCCATCTCTGAGCCTCAGTTTCCCCAAGTGTCCACAGAAGGGGCTGCTGGGTGCAGCTTGCCCACCATGATGTGCATGGTTAGAAAATAGGCAGGGGGTACTTCTGGGGCTGGGGCACACATCCCCTTAATCCCAGGCAGGAGTACTCTGCAGACACGCCATCCTGGGCGGATGGGCCCTTGGGTGGGGAAACAAGGGGTGGCCTTTCGGATGAGGGCCAGATTCCCAGATTGCCAGTGTGGTTGGCTGGGAAAATTTGGGGGTGGGGCTGTATCTGACAGCCTTGGGTGGGGGCACCTCTGCCAGACCCTGAGACCTCCCCTCCATGCTTGGACCAACAAGGCGAGTACCAGAAGCAGCCTCTGCCAGTCAGAGCATGACCACCTCACTGTCCCCATTGAACAGATGGGGCAAGTGAGGCTCAGAGAGGAGAAGTCCCATAGGACAGTGTCATTCCTGGGCAGGGAGAGTCGGGGGGCAGACACAAGGACTATGATCCCTGACAAGTGGGGTGAGGCTTCCCGTCTGTCCTCAGCAGGCCAATGGGGAATTTCCCAAGGCACTCTGGCCTCCCTCTTGACCCTGGCCATCCAGATTGGGGGGGGGGAGGGGCTAGAGGGAGGTTGGGGTGCACTGAGACCCTCAGGGCTAGAAATGAAAGTGTGCCATCCACAGGCATGAGGGGGTGACCCGGAAGCAGGGTTTGTCTTTTAGGTAAATTGGATTTGTCAGGTGCCCTGGGTGGTCTTCAGCTTGTCAGCGCCATATACCCCCTGCTTCATATGAAGGGAGGAGCTACCTAAGTCCCCCATTACAGAAGCTGTCCCTATCAGGAGGAACAGCGACATGCCTGAGGCCAACATGAGCCCCCAGTCCACAGTGTCACCCCCTTTGTCTACCTAAAGGTGCCACTCTATACCCCTCAGTCTACTGGGGCAAAAGATAGGGGCCATGGAAGAAGAGGGCCGAGAAGACCCCCTCAGCCCCAAGCACCCCTGTGAGGTAGGGCTGGGGGTCTCAGGGTCCCAGGTGCCCCCAGCTGAGCACCCCACTTGCACACCTCCAAGAGCAGGGAGCTCACCGCCCACTGGAAACCCTTTCCAAGGGCAAGCAGCTTAGATCCTGGAAGAAACCTTTGTCTCTGAGCTAGTATCTGTTCCCAGCACCACCATCCAGACGTGTATCCACAGAGCAGGCTGTCCTTGGAGCCCCCAGCCTGCCTTGTCCATCCCTGGCCCCTTTCTGCTGGACCCTGCATGGCTACTTCTACACTGTCAGATACATCTGGGGGTGCAGATGGATGTTCTGGGGTCTAGAGTCACAGAACGAAGTCTGTGGTTCAGCTCAGAGGGTGCCTCTGTCTAGTACTGGGGTGTGTCCCCACCCCCAAACATGCACTTGGAGGGCTCCATCTCAAAGTACAACGCTGTCCCTGGTAGATCCAAGGTCTCGGGGAGGGGGATGCTCCCTGTCTCACCACCCCACCGCCCCCCCGCACCCTCCTGGTCTCCGGCGCCCACCCCCACCCCTCTGCCTCCTGTTTGTTCTGCTAACAGATCCCCTTATCAATAGAGAACACTTGCAGGAAGTCCGGCCGGGAAGGGCCCATCCCAATCCTGATTTACACGGGCTGGGAGCATAAAAAGCCACCCTTCCCGCCCGGGAGACGCCTCCCTGCCGGAGCCTGAGCTGAGTGAAGCAGGGATGGGGGCTCAAGCCCACGGGCCAGGCGGGAGGGCCGGGCAGGCGGGCCTGATGCCCAACAAGGCAGCGATGGCAGAGGTGAAGCCTGGGCCGCATCAGGTATGCCAGGGTGGCCTGGGAGCAGGCGGGAGGGTCTGAGCTCAGAATGTGTAGCTCAGCTGACAAGCACAGAGGGGATTCTGAGGTTCCTTATCTAGGGGTGCCAACTAGTGGGGCTTCAGTTGGATTTCAATCCCACTACCTGACTCCAACACTTAACCCCTGGCTGCCCAGCAGCTGCCGTCCCCCTGAGCTGGACAGCTCTGATGAGCTCTGTATCCCCTTCCCCAGAGTCTCAGCTCCACCCCACTGTCCCGGGGAGCTGTCCCGGGGGATGTGAGGGCTCAGTCTCCCTCAGTGGAGGTCTGGGGTGTGCCAGGGGAAGGGGATCTCTTCAGATTCCCCAAGATCTAGTCAGTACTCCAGTGGGGGTTTGGGGGCAACGGGTGCTGGCCTGGGAGATCAGCCCAGGAGGAGGGACCCCCAAAGCCAAGTCTACCACTGGGATGTGCCTTAGTCAGGAGGTGCTGAACACGGGACCAGGAGGGGTCCCACCTCCTACCCAGCTCACTTAGGGACTCAAGCTTGGGGGTATAGGGTGTCAGGTCCCACCTGAGCCCTGGAAAAGCCTCTTGCCCCCCTCCCCACCCACCGGGTCCACTCCCCTACCTGGCACCCGTCACATCCCCCAAAGAAGCCTGTTTCCCCATTGTAACATCAGGACCATTGGACAGGATCTGCTGAGTCCAGTGGGTCACAGCTGAGGGGGTGAGGACAGGCCAGGGAACAGGGCTCAAGCTCTCTCACCCACTCCCTCTTGAGCCTGCTCTTAACCCTTTACTGCCTGGGATGGAAGAGAACTGCCCCCTCCCCACACCAAGACAGGGTCCCCCAGACACAGTTGTAGGTGTCAGGCAACCATTGCAACCACCCCTCAGACCCATCTGCCCCCAGGGGCAGTGGCCTTTGAAGGAGGGGGAGGCATGTTCTTCAGACAGGCCTCTAGTCACTAGGCTGGTGAGATGACGCTTCCCCTCTGACACCCTCACTCTACCCCAGGACTTAGGGTACCGAGCCGCAGAGGGGAAAGGCTGTACCTGTCCATGGCTGAGGGTGTGAGCTGTCTGAGAAGGGGGGGAGGGGTGCTACTCTCATGGGCAGGGGACTATGGGACCCTTGCAGACTGAGATCTTCATCAGCCCAGCCCCTGGACATCAAGGTGGTCACTCTGACGCAAACTCACCTCTGACCTGCAACCCCACCCCTCACGGCCTGAAGAGGAATCAATACCAGTCTCCATGGGATGACGGAGCCCCCCACACCAGGTGAGAGCCCCCCACACCAACCTAGGCAGTGCCCACAAGCCCAAACACAAGGGCCTATCCCGGCGCCAACACGGGTTTACATGTCCGGGACCCCACAGTAACAGAAATACTGACAAATACCGACAGTGGCGGCGACTAACCAGCCATCCACCACGCAGGACGGCTTCTTGGGAACAGTTCCCAGTGGTCAGCCTCCACACCAACACAACAATCACATGGTGGGCAGTGAGGAACGCCCACATCTGAGGCCTGTTGTGGTCTTGGATAAGTCATTGCTGTCTGGTGGCTTTGATGGCCGGGGGTTGGGGTGAGAGCGAACCAAGGTGGTCAGTACAACGCCCCATGTGGTCTGTTTAGCCGGCCCACTAGTGCCTCACTGCTGGGGCTCTGGTACTTCGGGCGGGGGGGGGAAAGGGGGGAAGGAGGGCAGGGACACTCGGGGGACAGAGTTTGCGTCGACAGGCCCAAGTACAAGCTGACTCACTGACCAAAGAAACTGAAGAGCTGACGGGGTCTCAGTCTCCCCGTCTGCGAATTGGGGGCGGGGTCAGAGCGGGGTGGTGGGCTTGGCCCTGGGGAGTCCCCCTGGCCTGGAGCCCACCCCT